GCAAGTTTGCAGATGACACAAAGCTGAGTGCTGTGGTTGACACACCTGAGAGATGGGATGCTACCCAGAGGGACCTGGACAAGCTCAAGGAATGAGCCCATGTGAACCTCATGAGGTTCAACAAGGCCAAGTGCAGGGTCCTGCACCTGGGTTGGGGCAACCCTCAGGATCAATACGGGCTGAGGGAGGAAGGGATTGAGAACAGCCTTGCCAAGGACTTGGAGGTACTGGTGGATGAAAAGCTGGACATGAGCTGGCAATGTGCACTTGCAGCCCAGACGGCCGACTGTATCCTGGGCTGCATTAGAAGAAGCATGGCCAGCAGGTCGGGGGAGGGGATTCTGCCCCTCTACTCTGCTCTGGTGAGACCCCACCTGGAGTCCTGCATCCAGCTCTGGAACCCTCAGCACAGGAAAGACATGGACCTGTTGAAGCGGGTCCAGAGGAGAGCCACAAAAATTATCAAAGGGATGGAACACCTCTGCTATGAGGACACGCTGAGAGAGTTGGGGTTGTTCATCCTGGAAAAGAGAAGGCTCCAGCAAGACCTTATTGCAGCCTTTCAGTACTTAAAGGGGGTTTATGAGAAAGATGGGGACAGACTTTTTAGCAGGGCCTGTTGCATTAGGGCAAGGGGTAATGGTTTCAAACTAAAAGGTGGCAGATTTTGACTAGGTATAAGGAAGAAATTTTTCACAGTGAGGGTGGTGAAACACTGGCACAGGTTGCCCAGAGAGGTGGTAGATGCCCCATTTGTGGAAACTTTCCAGGTCAGATTGGACGGGGCTCTGAGCAACCTGGTCTAGTTGAAGCTGTCCCTGCTCACTGCAGGGGGGTTGGACTAGATGACCTTTAAAGGTCCCTTCCAACCCAAACTATTCTATGATTCTATTCTATGATTCTTTCAAATGTTAGAAGTGTTACTCAAGGAAAAGATGTGAATGTTTTAAAATAATAATTCCTATTGCTTCATATATAAGCTACTTCTGTCTAAATGGTTAGGCAAGCAGGTGGCATATATCTTAAGAAAAGTCACTGCTCTTAAAGGAAATTAACAAAAGAAAATTCTAAACTTACATCAGTTGCCAGTAAAATTTTATTAAAAAATTCACTGAAGCTGTCAATGAATTGGTATTGTATATTAGCTCATTGCAAGCAAGCTTTAATAAATAGCACTGTGAAAAACCTCCATCCCAAAAATGTTCAGTGTTTCAAATACACTTTCAAGTTTCATAATTGTCTATTGCTGTGGCTTTGAATGGTAGAAACACAGAGCTGACTCGGATACTGAGCTTTTACACCAGATGTTTAACCTGCTAACATTTTAAAATTCTCTTTAAGAAAGTTACGATGAACTCCCAAAAATACATGTTTGGAAAAACTGTAGCTGTACAGAATAAAATACTTTTGAAGTGAAAACTTCACTATATGCTTGCATTGAGCAATTATTCAAGCTGGAGGATCTCCTGGAAACAGCATGTATCCTCATCACAGGCAAAATTGTCCTGTTTATATCTCATTAAAGGAGAAAACAACAGAACTACCAATCAGCAGAGTCAATTTATTGACTTGGGGTTTTTTTCAAATTTGCTGTTTAAGAGAACTCTACAATGCATAGCATATAGACTTGATGACCAAAAGGGAAATATATACCATTGAGGGAGGGAAATCCTCTAAAAACCCTTTAGGGACCTGAAAAGTATTTAACTGAGAAGTAAACTGGTCATTCACCTTTCTGTTATTGTGAAGGTCCACGTCTTACAGCAAACTTCTAGGTCAAGAGGCAACAGCTTTCAAACTGGGATATTTTGGATATTATGCATGATTCCTTCTTTAAGGGATATGTAGCTGTACTGTACGAAGAGTTTTAAACGGTCTACTTTATTCCTCTTTAAGGATACTAGTACTTTCTTCCATTTCTGTTAACCTCCAGATATTACTGACATTTTTCAAAATGTTGAAGTGTACTTATTTCATATACTGCACTAAAATTTTCTTCCCTTGATTCACATGGGAGAATGGTCCGCAGTGATGGTAGTACACAGAAAATAATTACCAGATTTTTAAAAGATAAACATATGTTTGAAATTGATGTATCCTAGGGGCAGGGACTGTCTCTAATTAAATGTTTATACAGTGCCTAATATAATCAAGCCAGGAGCTGGTTGACTGCTATGCATGCCACAGTCCAAATATTTAATAATAATAAGCACAGTTCTGTAGTCAATTTGATCTTACTTTTGATATTTACAAGTATTTTCCTAACACACACTGCTGATTTCTGCAATTTGAAGGCCTTCAGGCTCAAATTCTGCAGTCTGTCTGATTCTAGCATCTCCATCACTTTAGCACTCAAAATCTTGATCCAAATTCTGTCTCCTGTTTTGTGTGTCAAATGGAAGATGGGATGCCCCTGTTTTAGGGGAGCTGGGACAAGTATCCAGCTGATTTTCTAGCATGCAGATGAAACAAGTGCCAATATTACTGTTTAAAGTTCCAGCAAGTGCCCCTGCAGGGCAACTCAGATGTAAGGAAACTTGCATGAGAGGTTCTGTGATGAGTTCTTCTTTGAAAACATTCCTCTGGATTCAGTATGTGTTCAGTTTGCTGCACTCATTGGGACACTTTCTCAGTCATGAGGCATAATTCACACTATTGACTCTATTAAGGAATTAATCTTTACCAAGACAGTCTTGGCTTCCACTCAAATGAGGGTCATCTGCACAAGACAGAACTCTGAAGACAGGAAACAGTGAAAAACTTTGGGAGCCATCATCTGCAGAAAAAAGTTCCTCCTAGGAGTGGTTGGACAGCCATTTCCACTTACATGAGACACTCTGCATGCCTAAAAATAATGTCTCCCATCCTCTAGGCTAGCTTCTACAGTCAGGAATAACTATTCCTGGAAGTGGGTACAATTTGTTGGTTAAGGATTAAGAAGTAGTGATTTCTGTCATTGATCAATTGTTATGTCCCTTAAGTTAATTATCAGTGTTTGTATGAATAATTAATCATATTCATTTTATTCATGTTTGTATTAATTCATTCCTACAAATTAATACAAATATTTATTCATGTTTGTATGAATAACTAATAATTATTGTACTGAAAATTACAAGTGTTAATGACAATTCCCCTGTTAGTTCAGTTAGCTACTATTTCTGTGTATAACAATTTAGTCATGGATAAACCTATATGTTGGAACCCCGAGCTCCTTCTTCCAATCACTCCTTCAGGAAAATGAATAATGCCTGTTCCTCTGTAACAGGGTATTTTCCTGCCTGGGATTTGGACCTAATGTTTAAAACTGTATCTGGGGTCCCTCTTCGCTAAAGCAGCCTTAGATCCTCTACCCATGAAAGCATAATTTGGAATAGCCAACCTCTTTGCTGAAATTCAGTGTGAGCATGCTGCATTGATGGACTTCCTGTCCACACATTAATATGCTCAGAGACAATATGAAATTAGGTGTAACTTGATGACTACAGTAGGGACTGGCAAATAAAGAAGTATGGAATTCAATCTGTATTTTCATTTAACAACACTTCTTTAACTTGGAATCACCCTATGATTCACTACAGTACCTTTATACCTTGGGCTCCCTAACTCTGTTGTTTACCAGCAATTTTAGTATGCTGTTCATAAGCATGCAGAGAGGCATGACGGGAGGTTACTTACTCATTGATTTTCAAGAGTTGTCTCTACACATTCACACAACCAATCTGCCTTGCCCTTGCTTTGGAGCTCTAGCTCTGGTTTTTAACACTCAGCAGGCATGCGATAAGAAGCAGAAGTGGGTGGGGCACAGTGCATTTGCTTAGAGATGGAAAAGCTGACATTGCTCCGGTGTGAGAATAC